AGGGTTGATGGGGGGTGGGAGGGAGGAGAGGGTGGGTGATGGGTATTGAGGAGGGCACCTTTTGGGATGAGCACTCGGTGTTGTATGGAAACCAATATGACAATAAATTTCATATATAAAAAAAAATTGGTCATAAAGGTCAAGCTAAAGGAAAATGAGCTTCTAATTACAAAAATAAGTACATTTAAAAAATTCAATTCTCAAGAGGAATTCTCAAGAATTGCCATTGTAATTAGGATTGCACTGTTTAAAGACAAACTGGGTTCAAATCCTGGCTTTGCCACTACTAGCTGTGTGACCTTGATTGAGCAAGTTACTTAATTTCTCTGTGTCATCGTTTTTTCCTCATCTGTGAAATGGGGACAATTATAGGACCTACCTTATAAAGTTGCTATGAGAACTAAATGGGTTAGCATTCATTTTTTTTAATGTTTATTTATTTATTTTGAGAGAGAGAAAGAGAGTGTGCACTCACACAAGAGGGAGAGGAAGAGGGAGAATCCCAAACAGGCTCCAGGCTTTCAGCACCGAGTCTGATATGGGGCTTGATCTCACGAACTATGAGATCATCACCTGAGCTGAAATCAAGAGTTGGGTGCTCAACCGACTGAGCCACCCAGGTGCCCCAAATGGATTAGTATTCATAAACAGCTCTGAGCAGCACCTGGTATATGATACCTGCTATATATGTTGCTTGTTAAACAAAAATATTAATAAAATAAAAGTAACTGCTGATTTTTTCTTGCTATCACTTGTTAATAAGGCAATCATCAGAAGTAAAAACTAGCATGTAAAATAGTTCTGTGACAAAATACTGAAGTATTCATTTATGTTTCCTCTTTCTCTAGGCATCCTTCTCTCCCCCTTTCAAGCAGGGAGCCAGGCTCGCTCACGCCTGTGGCTTGAGGGATTCTTGCGGGCTGGGAAGTCCATGGGCGCCTGAACCCAGTAGCTCTTCCATTCTTTAAGGAAAGCCTAAGCCCAGTGAAGTGACAGATGATGCTGAGTGTTCCTGGAGAGGTGGAGGTGAGTGAGGAATGTGGGTGCAGGAAGACATTTCCTGGAGGAGCCCTATGAGCTAGCATGCCCCTGCAGGGCCCCAAGTGGTGGCATCCCCTCAGAGGGATGGCTGTGCTGTGCTGCAAGGAAGGCAAACCCTTCCTCCCATGCCTCGTGGCCCAGATAACCTTTTCAACAAATGTTGCTAGAACAATTAGAAATCACAGACCAAAACCAAAAAAGAAACCCCCAAATCTTGGCCTATGTCTCACACCTTACACAAAAATTAACTCATGGACTTAAATGTGAAACTACAACACTTTTAGAAAAGAACATAAGGAGAAAAATCTCAGAATCTAGGATTCTCTGACTTGCACCAAAACTATCATCTGTAAAGGGAAAAATGGTTAAACCAAACTTCATCAAAATTACAAACTTGCTCTGAGAAAGACCCTGTTAAAAGAATAAAAAGAGAAGCTACAACACAGGAGCAAGTATTTGCAAATCACATATTCCACAAAGGACCAGTATCTAGAATATAAAAGAACTCTTAAAACTCAACAATAAAAAGTAAATCGTATTATAAAATGGGTAAAATGAAGAAACACTTCACCAAAGAGGAATACAGATGGCAAAGAAACACATGAAAAGATGTTCAACATCATTAGCCATTATGGAAATGCAAATTAAAGCCACAGTGAAATATTGGGGCACCTGGGTGGCTCAGTGGGTTAAGCATCCAACTTGGGCTCAGGTCATGATCTTGCAGTTCGTGGGTTTGAGCCCCCCATCGGGCTCTGTGCTGACAGCTCAGAGCCTGGAGCTTGCTTCGGATTCTGTGTCTCCCTCTCTCTGTCCCTCCCCTGCTTGTGCTTTGTCTCTCTCTTTTTCTCAAAGATAAATAAGCATTAAAAAAAATTAAAAAGGGGCACCTGGGTGGCGCAGTCGGTTAAGCGTCCGACTTCAGCCAGGTCACGATCTCGTGGTCCGTGGGTTCGAGCCCCGCGTCAGGCTCTGGGCTGATGGCTCAGAGCCTGGAGCCTGTTTCCGATTCTGTGTCTCCCTCTCTCTCTGCCCCTCCCCCGTTCATGCTCTGTCTCTCTCTGTCCCCAAAATAAATAAACGTTGAAAAAAAAAATTAAAAAAAATTAAAAAAAAAACCCAGTGAAATATTATGTACACCTATCAGAATGACTAAACAAACAAACAAACAAACAAACAAACAAAAATAGTGACAATAACAAATTCTGATGAGGATGCAGAGAAACTGGGCCACTCATACATTCCTGGTAGGAATGTAAAATGGCACAACGACTCTGAAAACTAGTTTGGCCATTTCTTTTAAAACTAAACATGTAACTATCACATGACTCAGCAATTGCACTCCCAAGCATTTAGAGAAACGAAGACTCATAGTCACACAGAAACCCACACATGAATGTTTACAGGAGCTTTATTTGTAATATCCCAGACGTCTTTCAATGTGTGAATGTTTAAACAAACTGTGGTGCATGGAAAACTACTCAGTAGCAAAAGGGAACAAACTATTGATAAAAGCAATGACCTGGGGCACCTGGGTGGCTCAGTGAGTTAAGCATCCAACTTCATTCAGCTCAGGTCACGATCTCATGGTTTGTGAGTTCGAGATCTGCGTCGGGCTTTCTGCTGTCAGCACAGAACCTGCTTCGGATCCTCTGTCTCCTTTTCTCTCTGCCCCTGCACTCTCTCCTGCTCTCTTTCTCTCTCTCAAAAATAAGCACTTAGAAAAATTAATAAATAAAATCAATGACCTGGATGAATCTCCAGAGAATTATGCTGAGTGAAAAAAAGCTAACCCCAAAGTTACATACTGTATCATTCCATTTATACATTCTTGAAATGACAAGAATGAAATTATGGACAAGAAGAACACATTAGAGGTTGCTGGGGGTCCTCTGCTGGGGCCAGAGGTGGGTGTGGCTATGAAAAAAGCAGCAAGAGGGATCCTTGCAGCAATGGAAATGTTCTGTATCTTGACTCTTTCAAAGTCAATATCCCAGTTCTGATCCTGTACTAGAGTTTTGAAAGATGCTATACCATTGGGGGAAACCGATAAAGGATACCGGAGATCTCTCTGTATTACTTCTTATAATTGCATATGAATCTACAGTTATCTCAAAATAAAAAGTTTAATTAAAAAATCTTTGCAAGGAGTGTCTTGATATACTTCCAAATAGAAGTCTCATGCAGATTAATATTTTATCAGCAAGATCCCAGCCCAAGATCCTTCAGAGGCAAGTTTATCGGTGGATGGAACTATCTTTTTCAGAGGGTCTTTGTAGACTGAAAGTGCTAATGGTCCCTCCCAAACTACATTCACTCCCTTTATTGTGGATAAAATGAAATCCAGTGTATATAAAAACATCCGGAGAAAGTTGTATAAATCCAGATATTTTTACACCCCTAAAAATAGATATCCATATGGCATTATAACTATGTGAAACATATGTGCATAGCAAGAGCACATGCTTATAAATAGTTTGGAGAATATTACAGATCTCACCTGTGTGTTTCAGCTCTCAGGTCCTAGAGAGAGAACAGCTTCCGGTTAGTAACTGAGACTTGATTGTAGGGATTCCTTCAGAAGGGCAGAATGACTGACCATCTGTTGAGTACCTCCCCTGTGCTAGGGGCTTTACATTATCTAGTTTAATCTCTAGCCCTATGCTAGGAGGTGGGCGATATTATCACCAGAACAGGTACTGAGTCTCTGAATGCCTCAGTGAAGACATTTGCCTCAAGCATTGACCCGAAATTGAAACCCAAGGCATTCAAGGTCCCAAACGAGTAAGTGGCAGCCAGGAAGTCAAACCCAGGTTTGTTTCCAAAACTCTAGCTCCTCACTGCTGTCTTTCTGGCCTTCCAAATTTACTGTGTGGGGTGCTTGCCAGCCCCACCTGTGTCATACAAATGCTAAATTGTCCGTAGGATAGAGCAAGCCTTTCTCTGCCCGCCCTGATGCTGCTGGGGCCAGCAGAGACAGAGAGGGGGGATGGGTGGGATGGAGGGTCCCCTTTCATCCACATGCTGCAGGTGGCTTTCTTGAGTCTATTTTCCCCGTTAAAGCTGTCCTAACTGATCATTTTTGCCAGATTTTATCTTCCTAGGAGGGAGGTGTGGGAGGAGAAAAGAGTAGATGAAGGCACAGTGAGATGTCTACTGAACTATTCCTTCATTCAAGGCTTCCCCATTTGTACCCTCACTGAAAGTTCCAGGTGTGCCTCCCAGGCCCTGAGTTTGAATCCCACCAAGGCTCAGGCAAAGGGGAGCCAAGGCAGTTTCACAGAACTCCTGTGACCTGCAGCTGCTGGTCTCCCAGAAACTTTTTTGTTGCTCGTGTTTGCTAGAGTTTTATATGGTGCTCTTTTGACTATATTTACAGGATCTAAGATTGGGAATAGAGAAAGAGAGGGAGGGAGGGCTTGGGGGAGGAAAGAGGCAGAACGAATGCTGGGACAAGGCTCATCTGAAGGGACTGCCTTGAGGTCATTTCCAGTCAGATATTCAGGTTATTAATTTTTTTCTGTCTACAATTTTATTTTATTTTATTTTCAGCATCATTAGCTGATTCTTTCTTAGGATCATGTGTTGTTGTTTTATAGCCTTCTGTTTTCTTTTTTTAATGTTGAGTTTTGAGAGAGAGAGAGAGAGAGAGAGAGAGAGGGATAGAACACAAGTGGGGGAGGGGCTGAGAGAGAGGGAGATAGAGGATCTAAAGTGGGCTCTGTGCTGAGAACAGACAGCCCAACGAGGGGCTTGAACTCACAAACCACGAGATCATGACCTGAGCCCAAGTTGGACGCTTAACCGACTGAGCCACCCAGGCGCCCTAAGCCTTCTGTTTTCATTTCATGAATGTGATTCCCTACTGGATAGCTGAAATCAACCTTGCCTGCACACTGGAATCACCTGGAAACTTTAAAAATACTGATGCTTGAGTCCCAAGAAATTCTGACTTAACTGGGGATTAGTGAAGTCTAGGGAGCAGTTAAATGTGGTCTGGGGAGCAGTGGGTATCTTGATCTGCAAAAGCTCCCGGGCTATTCCAGAATGGAGACTGAGAACTGTGTCTCTGAGGATCTGAAATCCCTAATTTTCACATCCTCATTGTTCTGGTATCTGTGTTTTCTCAAGTGCAAGGTCCTCCTTTTGTGGAGGTTTCTGTCTCTTTTGGATGGTGCTGGCCTTTTTCAGAGGCTGGGTGAGCTCACCTGCTACCTGGACTGTATCTCTGCCTCCACCCTGAGTCCGCTGTGGCCTGGATATGTTAATGCCCATGTGGAGGTTCCGGGATGGGGGGCCTCAGCTCCTCACATGGTTTCCCATCTCCCCTTCCTTAAGGAATGCTGCTCAGCCATTATGGAGAGGGGCCTTTCTTACTTCCAGGAGTGGCTATATTGTTTTTACTTTTCTCCCTCTGTCCCTTCCTTCCTTTTCGTATCTTTAAAATTTCTTCTCAGGGTCTTATAAGGAGGTAGAGATTTCAGCATGAGTTTAGGTCACATTCTTAAACCTGATGATTTTACTTTTTAACTTTACACACTTCTGTGTTATTTGAATTAACATATTACTTTTGTAATAATCTTTTGAAATATATTTTTAAAATATTTATTTATGTATTTTGAGAAAGAGAGAGGGAGAGAGCTCAGGCAAGCATGGGGGTGGGGGGCAGAGAGAGAGGGAGAGAGAGAGAGTCCCAAGCAGGCCCTGCTGCTGTCAGCTCAGAGCCCAACATGGGGCTCGATCCCATGAACTGTGAGATCATCACCTGAGCCAAAATCAAGAGTCGGACACTCAACCGACCGAGCCACCTTAAAATATTAGGTGCTTCTTAAAATATTTTTATAAAAAGGTGCTGCTTAAAATATTTTTATAAAAAGTTATTACACTCATAAAGTCTATGTAATAATCTGGAAAGATGTTCATGATATAATGCTAAGGAGAAAAGTAGAAATATGTGTAGGAGGATGACAATAATGTAAAACAAGGCAGTGACAAAAACCAAACTTTATCCATGGAAAACAGACTGGGATGAAATATATATATATTTATTTATTTATTTTATAATGCTGGGGAAGTCGAACTACTCATGTTGAAGGAGTTTAGTCCACTGAAGAAATTGCCCATGTTAAGAAATGGTTTGTGAGAGATACCCAAGCTCAAAGAAGCTGACTGGGGTACCTGAGGAAGGTGTGCCTGTGGTTATTGTCAGAAGAAAACTAACATTGTCACCTGATACCTTAACTGTATTGGGCATGAAGCCATAGTTTAGTTGATCTTTGTTTACCTCTATTCCCATTTTTTTCAGCAAGAGTGCCTTTTATTGGTTTGGGCATCCATCCTTCCATAGCCCATGAAGTGTCTGGGGCTCCACCTTTGCCTCAAGAGGAATAGCACATGATCTAAGCCCACGCCAATCAGCATTTCACATTCCTCTTGCCTCATGATTGGTTCAAAGGTGAGCAAGTAATTTAAGCGAGTTAAATTGAAGCCACTGTAAAGAGGCTCCTTTTCTTTCATGTTGTACTTGGACCTTGTGGCTGCAGCAACTGTAGCTGTAGCCATCTTGCTTCCACGTGGAGCCTGAGAATTACACAGTACATGGAAAGCAGCAAACCATCTGGCCCAATCTGGCCATGGTGAGGCCAGGTCTTCTGCAACTTAGATTTTCAGTAAGGCAGGTGAGTTGGGCTCTTAGATGCTTATAATCAAGATAGTTTTACAAACTGTGCTTATGGAGATTTGTTTTAAATTTTTTTTTTAACATTTATTTTTGAGACAGGGAGAGACAGAGCATGAACGGGGGAGGGTCAGAGAGAGAGGGAGACACAGAATGTGAAACAGGCTCCAGGCTCTGAGCTGTCAGCACAGAGCCTGGCGCAGGGCTCGAACTCATGGACCACGAGATCATGACCTGAGCTGAAGTCGGATGCTTAACCGACTGAGCCACCCAGGCACCCCTATGGAGATTTGTTTTAAAAGGAAGACTAGAAAATAAGAATTGTTACCTTTTATTCAGTGCTTTCTTAAGAGAGTTGATAAGAGCTCTGTTTCTTGACCTCCACCCCTATTGGTTGGACAGATGTATCCCTCCCATGCAGAAACAGTCATTTGTTTGCTTAACCTAGCATGATGAAAATATTGCCGCATGGCATCCCACTCCTATTTCTGATTCCAGATTTACCCAACTATCTTCTGATCTGTGATTTAGTCCCTTGACTGGGTTGATATTCAGGTAGGTACCCTCCCGTTGTCCATGAACATACTAGCATTACATGTGCTTGGCCAGCCTCCTATGAATTTGGTTAAGCAAGTAGTTGCTAGAGTTTGCATAAACTGGAAACCTTGAGATTCTGGCTGCAAAGCTGAGAAGAGTCCCAACTCACTGGTGACCCCCCGTAATACAGAGGAGCCAACCAACTTAAGACTCATTATATCTCTAACTTTAACAGGCTCATTCACATCAAGAGAAGATTCATAAAGGCAGAGTGTGAACATTCAGTCTTGTGGTTCTGACAACACTAGTCGGCTCCGGGACATAGCACACCTGGATTTCCTGGCACTGCTTTCAATATAATCTTGGGCAGGTCACCATCTCCCTCAGCCTCTGTTTTGATTCTCCTACTATAAAGTGGAGATAATAACAATTTTCTCATGGGGTTGTTGCAAGAACTAAGTAGAAAAATACACATGAAGCCTGAGCACAATAAAAGCTACTTAGCAGCAGATTTTACAGGAAGCTAATGAATCTTCATAATCTGCAGGCCAGGCAGTCTGCATCCAAAGGGTGTCCAGGGCCCAGGGTTTATTCATTCCACCTGGTTCCCTGAACTTAGCTGGGCTGAGGAATCACCAGAAGGTTCTTATTAAAGTGGAAATTCCATGGCTCACCTCAGAGCTACCAAATTAGGCTCTCTAGAGGAAGGACTTGGGACTCTATTCTTGGTATTCTTCCCAAATGAGTTTGGTGAGTAGGTAGATAATTGCTCTTCAACTTGTGGCCTCTGGTATAGTAAGAGTTCAATACAAGTTGGCTAAGATTGTAATAATTGTTTTCATTACAATAGAGACCTCAATCTTGGGTTTCACAGAGGAAGCAGAATTTAAACTAAGCCGTGGAGGACAGACAGAACTTTGTAAAAAGGGAACAAGGGAGGAAGCTCTGCTGTGTATATCTTCTACAAAAAAATGTGATAAAATGCAACCTCTGTAGTTCCTTTCATATGAACTGAAAGACACATTTACTGAGATCACATAAAGAGTAAAGTTGTTATCTCACCTAAAAGAATTTTGGTTAATTTTGCCTTTGGTTAACTATTGTTGCCAAAATTTGGTGTCAGCTGAGTCAAAGATCTTTTCTTTTTTTTTCTTTTCTTTTCCTTTTCTTTTCTTTTCTTTCCTTCTTCCTCTCCTTTTTCTTTTCTTTCCCTTCTTTCTTTCTTCTTCCTCCCTTCCTTTCTTTCTTTCTTTCTTTCTTTCCCTTCCTTCCTTCCTTCCTTCCTTCCTTCCTTCCTTCCTTCCTTCCT